GCAATATCCAGTTTCAAAACCTTTTTGTGCTTGTGACACAGACAGGGAATTTTTTGGCTGTGAATGACTACAGGGACAAAAATTATGATCAATTTAGAAGAAACATTTGTTCTTTGTTTTTTAAAAATGATTTTTTAAAAAGTGATTTGGGGTAAAACCACTTTTATTTTCTCCTAAAAGAACACCCTGAAAGGAAAAATTGAGGTGTTTGGTTTCAAAAATAGTAAACATTCCATTATTTTCAGAAGATATATTTAACATTTTCAATGTTTTTCTGCATTGGTAGCTGAAACTCTTTGTTTATCTTAGAAAATAATTTTGGTCTCATAAAAGTTTTAGTTTTTTTCAACTCTTTTACATATCAGAAAATATATCCCAATTATTTAGGTCTGGAGACATTCCAGTAAGTAAACACATTAATGACCACAAAAATTCACATTTGCTCAGTAGGCTGTATATCACACCCACTGAACCCGTGGAACAGAGAGTTTGAAGGAAAAATATGCTAGTTACTGTAAATGGAGTTTAAGTGGGTTTTCCATTTGCGTTCTTCCTTCTAACCTTCTCTCTCTCGCATCCTTCGTTTTTGTTTTAGTTTTCATCTTTACTACAACCGTAACAAAGTCATTATCTGAGTAATGTCCAAGGGGTAAAAAACTAGTAAAAAAGGCTTGTTTTCACAAAGGTGCAGGGTTTTTTCAGCTGTTTACTGCTTTCCTCTTTCATAAGGTATATTTAAATATTTTCTTTATTTCAGAGTAGCTCATTTGCAGACTACTTATCTTTGAATTTTGATCATTTAATGAAAGAGTGCAACAGGTATTTCAAAACAGTAGGAAAACAAAAGCTGTATTTTCAAACTATGATATGTCCCTCTGTAAATTGAGCATTTGGATTAGAGAGAAATTGCTTAGAGTATCCTGAAAGTCCAAATCCATGGATAAATTCAAGAAGAAGAAAGAATATTAGAGGAGATGGGAAATTTAGCAAAAGCTGTAAGCAGGTTTTGAAATTATCACTTAAAGGAACAGAGATGGGAGGAAAAAATACCAGGAAGGATTTCACATTAAAATATTCTTCCTTGACCAGACTGTTGTCTGGTGAAATCTCTCTCTTCTCTTTTATCCCTCCAAAACTGAGCACCGCAGCAAAGCTTTTCAATGTAGCACTTAACAGCTGTACATTAAGGAGATATTTGATTTATTATGTTTCAGGTTTCTCTGAGATATTTTCATCCCGTCTGCAGCCACTGCCTTCTCATTTCTGGTCACCTGAACTCCTTTGCCACAAAAATATGATGCAATCTCAGTCAGTCAACTTGGAGCTTTACTTTTTGTCCTTCTTCCCTTTCCACAGCTTTGTGTACAGTCCCATCTTTTCAGCTCATATTTTCATAGCAGCAGTCATTGTGGCCCATTCTGTTCCCAGTGAGATTTCTACAGGAACTAGAGATTTAGATTCTTTTCAAACTCTGTCTGATGTTTCTGTGCCTTTTTATGGAGTAACAATTGCATTTGATGACCTCAGTCATGCATTATTTGTCTTTTTCACTATGCCTATGCTGCTAAAGCCATTGGTTAGCTTGTAGTTTCTAGGAGAGCTTAGTATCCACAACCAGGCCCAGGTTCCAGGTGGTATGGAAAAACCTGAGTTAAAGTAGAAGCGTTGGTATGCCCAAAATATTTTACTTTTGAACTACCTCTGTTTTCAACAGGGTTTATTTTACTTCCCAACCTGCGTGGTTGAGCCAGATGTGCTAAAATGCCCCAGCATGCAGCAGGTCATTCAGGGAGCAGGGAGGATCCTCTAGGATCTATCCTATCCAGGCCATCCTCTGGGTGATGGGACCCAGGCGCTGCTCTTTCCTTGAGCAGCTGGAGATAGCAGGGACTGGATGTGAGTTCTCTTCAATCGGTTTGTGGAAATCACCAGTGAAAGCAGAGGAGCTTTTTGGAGAATGAAATGCTTTGATAATTACTCAGGTTCCACCAGCGGTACTTGGAAACATGACTTCTCAGAGTGTAGGAAGCTCTTCTTTCTATGGCTTTGACCACTGTTCCTTTTCCAGGATTGTCATGCGGTAGATGAGGCAACCCTTGAGGAAGATGAGAGCCAGGACTATCAACTGCTGTCAGTGATGGAGAATGAGACCTCCACCACCATGCTGTTCAAACGTCACCTCCAGACATGTGACCCAAATGACCTGGCTATCACAGTAAGAAAGGGGACTGCTCAAGCAACATCCCGAACAAACCTGCTCTCATGTCTCACTGTATTCCCAAATCCCGGATCAGATCTGAGAATTACAGATTTTTCTCACAACAGTACAATAACAGGAATATACAGAAAAATATGGGACCATGCAGCCACATTTATAAGGCCCATTTCAAGGGCACTATATTGATGCATTTGATATTTTTTACAATGTTTTCCATCAAAGAATAGGGAAGATATAAATCTCAACGTTTTCTTAAGCTTGAACACAGGTCTTCAAAATTTTGCTCATTTCTCTCTCTCTTGTTTGCCACATATAAAAACCCAATTTAGTATGGGAGATAAAAGTTTTTATTTGCTTAATATAAGGCAGTATTTTGGTAAGAATTATGTTTAGAAAATTCAGAATGCTTTGATAATCTCCATCCTTCTCTCTTGGAAGAACTTCATACCGGTATTGACTGACATTAAAAAATTGTCCAACTCAAATCAGTATTTTAAGTCAGAGATTTTTCAAAAATATGCTTTGCCAAGGTCCACAAGCACACTAATGCACACAATTTCAGAGTTCTGCATATATAGACACTGTTTACACCGTTTCACCTTTACTTGAGGGACCTCTGGGTAAATCAGCATTATCCAAGGCTTAGCCCTCTCAAAAATGTTTGTCCAGAATTAGGTGTACATTCACCATCTTTCCAGAATTCAAATACACGTGCAAATGACTGGATAGATGCCTTTGTAGTTACAAACCTTCTTAATGACCTTTACTAATTGAAAGAAATATAATCCCATTCTGAATGGGAAGAACCTACAGAGTTCCATGGCTACTGCTATCCTTACATGATGGGGCAGATCCAGGAGGATCATTGAGCACATTCATGCTCAACAATAGCTGCTAATGGGGAATCAGGGGACTACAGTTTTGTTAGCTTTTTGTGCAAGTCCCTTAGTAATTCTTCGTAAAAATTGCCCAAAGCACATTAACAGTATATACAGATAAATAAACTGCATCTGTTTGCTCTAGGATATGCAAAGATCTGAAAATCTGATCTTTAGCACCATTGTACAGCTCCCACAGCTACAACAGTATCCAAACACTCAGCATCTAAACATTTAAACACAAAATGGTGCAGGTTCTGAAATCTTATCAAATCCCTTACAGCTTTTTTCCAGCTTTCTTTTATTTCACATACCAACACTTTAAATCCATGCATGTTTCAATAATGTGTGTGAAATGACAGTGGGTAAAGCTTTCCTAGGGTCTTTTCTAGCCAGCACCCTCTCTTTGGGAAAAAGACATCATGTCTTTGTCTGGACAAGACAAATCTTGTGTGTTAAACTGCTTACTCTCTGTTGTGTGTTCTGACATACTGTCTGAGTGTCTGGCTACGTACCAAATACAGTTATATTATTTTAGATTACTTTTCATTGCACATGGTTAGCATGTGGATTACGTTTTAATACATGTGTAGTGGTATAAGGCATGTGATGTGGGGTGAATACCTGTGTGTGTGGTTGATGGGAAGGAATGAGGGAGAGTTTCATTGGAACATTCATTACAGATGGACACAGCACACCTCGTTACTGCCTTTGCTACTGATGACACAGTCCAATTCTTTAAAGGCCAAAGATTTTCCAAGTCTCTTTTCTTGATGAGGTACAGAGGCCCATCTGACTCAACTGACCCCAAAATATTCTTCACCTATGACCTGAGGCTGGACAATGTAAGTATTGGACAAGAGCTTTACTAGGCGTGTTAAAAAATTTCCCCTTCTTCCGCCTTTCTTTGCAAAGCTGATCATGCCCATGCTGGAGGTTTGGATTGCACAAGTCAAAAAATGGACATGACTGATCTTGGAAACACGCAAATGGAACTGGCAAGAGTAGGAATGAAGTGGGAAGGGAAGGCTTGCTGTATGGAGGGTAAAGGGCTTATTTGTTAGGAAAATGCTGTAAGGCGTAGCCTGTTCCCTTGACTAGAGTTTGAGGAGCCAAACACAGGCTGTGGTGCTATTGAATTGCAATATAATTATTAACTCAGGTATGTATGCATACAGGTCTATTAGCCCATCCATGTAGACCCATAGAAAAATATCTATAATATACTGAAGACATTTATGGATTCCCATCTTAGTTTTGTGGGAACTATATAATATCACTGACAAGAGAAATAATGGGAATACATTTATATGCTTTGTGACGAGTCTGGCTAAGAGCTCATAAAATGCAACACACTACTGTGTGCACTGCCTCCAGTATTAACTTATGCAGTATCTCAGTGTCAGATATAAGGATTTACCAGGAGAGCTGGAGCCCCACATTAGCATCACCTCGTGGTACATGCGCCATCCTTGTCAAATGGAGTCCAAAAGCACCAGCTCAGTGTGGTATTGCATTAACATCTTCCTTCTTTAAACAGCATCAGCCCACACAGTCAGCACTCACTCAAGACGCAGCAGCATCTGCTGATCTGCGTGGGCAATACTCCACAGTAAAGAGGGGAACTATTTTTATGTAAAGATTTGTGGGATGGGTGCTATCATGTGTTGTGCTTGTGACTCCAGAAAACCGGTATAAATGTTGATTGAACCGAATGGACGTTTCCTGTGCTCAGTTCATGTTACAACAGACAAATTAGTAATGCATTCCCTTTTGGAAAAATACAGAAAAAATCTGAAAGAAAAAGAATTTAAGACCTGGTGGAGCTGACAAATATGTTTGTCCTTCATCAGAATACAGTTTCATCTTCTTGACTCTCACTCATTGCAACCAAAAACCAATCAGACGCTTGCTAAATGCACCATCCTTCCTGCCCCCTCCACTTCTGGGTCTCATTCTCCTTGCACTGCCTCTCTCTGTCTTCTCCAGTTCCCTGTGCACATTACTGAGTTGCCAGGGGAACCTTCAGGTGACTTGTGTGTCTGTTTCTTTTCCAGTTTGCTGTTCCAGTTGAAGAAACCAAGTATGCCTGTACCTTTATCCCACTGCCCATGGTCAAGCAGAAACACCATATCTACAAGGTAAACTTGCAGGCTGTATTACTGGGGAAAAAACAGGACAGGACAGACTTCCTCCTTCAATCATGCATACAAGTCTGTCTTTTACAGCATTTTAGTATAAATTTGGGAGCATTCCATCTGTCCTTCACTGCCATTGGGATGAGCCAGCTAATTTGTCTGGTTTGTGTGGAGATAAGCTCTACCTTGTTTCTAGCTTTGGAAGATCTTTGTCTTTATGTACATCACACCTGAAGAAACCTTGCTACAAGTCTGATGTCTCAGTGTAGTGAGCTCAGGTCATGTTACCTATTGGTGTCTTTGAGAGCAAAGGGAGCATCCAGAATTTTCTATATTTGAAAGGACTTTTGCTTTTGTTCTTGGAAATTGCTAAGAGTATTTGTATAAAAAGCAAAACTAACATTTTTGCAGTCCTGTTTTCAAGATTCAATATGCAAAAAAGAAGAGCAAAGAAAAGAAACAGGAACTTTCCAAAACAAGTCTAGCTTACTTCTCAAATTAAGATAACGTTACTTCAAGGTCAAGCAACCCTTCTTAGTTTTGTGGGTTTTGAAGGTTTAAAAACAGGTGTTCCACTGCAATGGCATAAGGCAAAATTTCATAAGGAAGTATTTCCATGGACTGGAAAAAAGTTGACAGGTAATCCTACAGGACAAACTCAGGAGCTTTAGTCAGTTCTTGTGATAACATCAAGATTTTGAGGCCTGATCTCATCAGTGCTGGTAAAAAGTTCAGTGATTAATGAACAGATAAAGGTTATTTGCGGGGTTTATTTTAAACTATCTTGATTATAGTACTTTTGGCACACCTGAGGGAGCAGTGAATTATAGTGAACCTGAGATCGAGGTCCCTTATCTTGCTTTGCAGCCAAGAAAACGGTGTATGAAACAGATAAAGGTTATTTGCGGGGTTTATTTTAAACTATCTTGATTATAGTACTTTTGGCACACCTGAGGGAGCAGTGAATTATAGTGAACCTGAGATCATTGATCGAGGTCCCTTATCTTGTTTTGCAGCCAAGAAAATGGTGTATGAGGTAAACTATTTACATTTCTAGTCTGGAACCACACTTCCCAGCATAACAGGTCAAATAGACACCCCTCTGATTCTAATTAAGGGGAGGTGCTTTAGAGGAAGATGCAAATCCTTTCTGGAAAAATGGACTCTGCTGGGTGCATACAGAAAGGAGTAGATAAATCATCATCCAGTTTACCATCCATTTTGTGAATCAGATTATATCTGTTTGCCTAAACTATGGTTAATGGCTCTTTCTGGTTGCCTGAGAAAGAAATATTTTAGGGTTGACGATAACTTTTTTCACTCTTTCTCTTGGTTAGAGTTCGAACCTGTAATAACACCCCACAACATAACCTTGGTTCATCATATTCTTCTTTATGGCTGTGGCAACGCCAGCATGTTACCCAGTGGCATAGATGATTGCTATGGAGCCAGTCCAGATTTTGCTCTGTGCTCTCAGGTGCTTGTGGGCTGGGCTGTTGGAGGAGAGGTGAGTCTGCAGGGCCCATTCCCTTCCCCATTTCTTGTTATGAACAGTGGTACCCTTGTTGTCAGCTTCTCCAGTAAGACCCCACGGTCCTGCAGGGCCAACCAAACTGGGGAAGTTTCCTCATACTGTTCCCACTCGACTCTACTTCTGCTGCATCAAGTGGTGCTGGCAATTTCTACATAGTTGTCGATACTCTGCGTATGTGTGTATGTTATTATCATACCTGCATTAAACAAATTTTATATGTCACATAGGAAGGCTCTCATTCTGACCTTTTGATAATGTTGCCAATAATGTCACAAAATTCTCCTTGTGCTAGTCTTGCGTAACAGAAAGAAGTGTACCTACTTTCTGCCTTTTTTTCTACTGGCTCTGCCTCTTTTACAGCAGAGTAAAACTAGAAGTTCAGTGAAATTTGTGCTTCTGGCTGAGTGGCCTATTTAGTATTCAGTGCTGCACAAATTTTAGCATCTATCTTGTGATGGTCACTTTGCCTTTCAGAGCAAAATGTATTTTGTATTTCTGTAGTATGCATGTACATGGGGACGAAGAGAGGAAGGAGATAAGTTTTAGACAAAACCCTTATACTAATTTTATTCAGATTTTATGTTATGCAATGCCAATACTGATATGAAATTTGCTGCAAGAGTGCACACATACTATAACCATTTCCTATTAAATAAAGTATAAAACTAAAAATGAAACCAGTCAAAAGGATAAATGAAAAATAAATTTTGAAAAGTCTTCCTTGTTCCAATTCAGAAGGAAAAGAAATGGAACTGGCAGAATTTCCCACATTTTGATTTCTAACAATGTCTAAATAAATATTCAGAGACACAAGACTTTCTTTTTGTAAGTTTTCAATCAAGAAACAACACAGAAGAGTTATAAACTAACTACTTCATATAACTTTATTCCTCCTCTTCCTCTTTCCACAAGTCTTACCAGTTTCCAGATGAAGCTGCAGTTTCCATAGGGACACCTTGGGATCCTCAGTACGTCCGACTAGAAATCCATTACAGCAATTTTGACTTGTTATCAGGTGGGTAATGCTGGGCAGTTGTCTGACAAGAAAAGCCTCAGGATGGAAGCCTTAGACCTCACCTACATGCCTGTTAGAAACCAGCTTCTGCATGAAACACTTCCATATGTTGCTCAGTACAACCTTCAGGACAGTAAGAAGAAACTGGACTGGGCTCCCATTCAGGAAGAACTTAAACTAGCTTTAGAAACACAGATAGTTATGTCTGCTTAGATTAGACACGTCTTGCCATTGAAAAAGCTGAGCACATCTTCCTGCTATGATACTAGTGGGAGCGTTAGGGAAAACTTCAGGGAAACGTAGACATCATGGGAAAAAGGAGCAACGTGGGAAGGGATAGAGTGGCTGGGGGAGAAATAGGTGTACCAAAGGTCAGGATCAAGTCCTGAGAGCCAGGTCCTGATAATACCACCTCAGGCTTCTACCATGACCTCTAGCACTCAGTCCCTATGACAGGTGATGAAGAATGCCACCACGGTATTTGCTATCATTTTACAGAGGGGGAAACAAAAGTGTGGAGTGATTTTATGGGAATCATCTGAGACTACAAGCCCGGCTGGATCCAGATGCACTATAAGTGCACCTTGCATGACTTAGAGGCTGTACATTGCAGTGGACCATACCACAGGGGCAGGGTGGAGGGCTTAGGCCTTCCTGTTAATCTGTGCCTGCTCCCAGCCTGTGATTGGGAAAGAGACACTATGTGTGTTGTTGCTTCAGGCCCCACTTCTACTGTTTCTGGAGTTATTGCTGAAAGAGTGGTCATTTTTCTTTTACAGGTTTGATCGACAGCTCAGGGGTACGAATCTACTATACTCCGGAGCTACGGAAATATGATGTGGGGGTTATGCAGACAGGCATCTTCACTTTCCCTGTGCATTTCATCCCTCCTGGAGCAGAATCCTACAGATCTTACGGCCTTTGCAATTCCAGCCAGTTTGATGAAGTGAGTGTGGGGAAAGCCATACGAAATCCTTCTTGATCTTTCCCACTTTGGGTTTTCATCTTGCCCTAGACATGTCCAAAAGCCATTTGGTGCAGGGTGCCATCTTAGCCTCCATTTCTGCATGTTGCAAAATTAATATCTATTCCAATAAAACTGCTCAGCAGAGACCCAAGATTTGGCCCAAGAGCATTATCAGAGCTGTGTAAGCATGTCAGAACCATGGCTCGAATACCCATTCACCCCATCTAAGTGAAAGGGAAACAAACCCCAAAGGATGTAGTGACTTCCCAAGACCCCCAAGGGATTCTGCTCCACCACATGCAAGAGGCCTTGTCCTGCCATATGTGTGCCCTACTGGTGTAGGAAGGCAGGCACTAGGCTGGGAGGATGTGGTGCTCTTTCTCAGGTCAAGAGGCTGCTAACAATAATCAGCTCTGGTGGACTGTGGGACCCAGGGGATTCACAGGTCCCTCCAGGACTGCTAGATGTGAGGTTGCCACTTTCCCCTTTCCCAGGCCCAGCAGGTGCTAAGGCTGGGGGCAAACTCCAAAGATACAGACACCCCCCACCCCACCCAAACACACACACTCAGAGAGCAGACTCAGCTGGCCACAAACAGATCAACACAGACAGGAGTACAATACCTTTACAGGCACCACACAGGCACGAACAACACCCACATGAGCACGGACAACACAAACGACCCGATTCTCTTCCTCCTCTCTGATTAATCAGGCTTAAAGTTCACTAGAGGAATATAACCATAAGCATGCTCACCCAGCTCCCATATGTAATCACATTGGTTGGCCTCTCTGATTTCTGGTCCAGACCATAAGTCCTTTCAGCATCTGTGTGCAGATCCAGAACCCTTTTACACAGTCTCTGGCCTGGACCTTGGGTCTTTCTAGCTTGAAGTTTCCTAGTGGATCATCCCACCCCAAAACCACAGGCACACACATATACACAGTATAGAGCGCATACTCATACAGAAAATAGTTAGGAACAGAGTTTAGTAAGATAGTCTAGATTGCAGTGATCAGGTACCAGGTTTGGTCAGACAAAGTAGACCAGCAGTCTGCTTACGTGCAACTGGACTCTCCTCTTCCTCTCTCCATTTTCGCATG